ATGATGATGATGTGGCTGATGATGATGTGGATGATGATGATGTGGATGATGCGGATGATGATGATGATGATGATGTGGATGATGATGATGATGTGGATGATGAGGATGATGATGATGATGTGGATGATGATGATGGTGTGGATGATGATAATGATGATGATGATGATGATGTGGATGATGATGATGTGGATGATAATGATGTGGATGATGATGATGTTGTTGATGATGATGATGTGGATGATGATGATGTGGATGATGATGTGGATGATGATGATGTGGATGATGATGTGGATGATGATGATGTGGATGATGATGTGGATGATGTGGATGATGATGTGGATGATGATTGATGATGATGGATGATGATGGATGTGGATGATTGATGATGATGGATGTGGATGATGATGATGATTGATGATGATGGATGTGGAGGATGATGATGATTGATGATGATGGATGTGGAGGATGATGATGATGGATGTGGAGGATGATGATGATGGATGATGAGGATGATGGATGATGATGGATGATGATGATGATGGATGATGAGGATGATGATGGATGATGATGATGATGCCCGCCCACCAATACATAAAACAAAAAATACATGTACAGGGACATGTTTTTGACTAACCAGTCTCATTACGTTTTGAGTGAAATAAAATTATGAATTATACCAATGTCATCTATCATGGACGTATCGAGGGGGGGGGGGGAGGAGCCGTGGGAGCCGTGGCTCCCCCCTTTGTACACAGTGTTAAAATTTTAAAGCTTATTCTTGAGCCAATACAAATTCTTTCCTGGGATCACTCAAAATTAATACTTCTAAACATGTAAATATGCATCAGTACAAGTTATACATAGGCATAATAGAACACATAGGCCTAAGCGTGATTTAAAAAAATCCTACTAATACTTACTTGTTAATGTGTATAGAAACTTTATTCTCTCTTTCTCAGGCAATAATATATGACTTATCTTTTAGCTTACGAAGAAACACAGCCCAGCGGGCGCCGCAACAGGGCGAGTAACCAACGTTTTTCACTCGATCCATGTGGTTGTGGCGTCATGTAAATACCCTGTACAGAATAACCCGGAAACCAGGGGTTCTCAACTTTTTAAAAGAGTGCTGATTGGCTGTAGACACGGCGCTTGGACTTTTTTTTTGTATGCAATACGATTGTTCTACGCCTGCATTTATTAAATGAATAATAAAGTTATAAAAAGAAAATAAGAGTGTCAGTGTCTTATTTTATGGGGGAAATAATGAAATGGTAGATTAACGTTAGTTAGATTTGATAAATAAATTCCATTCATAATTAGGGGGTTCATTAAATTACAATATGAGGGTGTAGGGGGTTCATTAAATTACAATATGAGGGTGGTGTATTCAGAGATGAATAAATCATGCACCTATCGATATGCCGACAAGTTACGCATTGGGCAGAGTTTTCTCACGGCTGCAGACATAAAGTATGATCGCCGTGTTGAATATCGGTGTATTCAAAGCACACTATCTGTAGTATAGATTGCTGATAGTGTACAGCAAACCGTCTAAGACCGAGTGAATAAACTCTAGCCTGCGCCTAACGATTAATTCTTGACACGGGTGTGTGTTTTGTTCATGAAATAGGAACTTTATTTATAACAACAATTACATGATTTTACGTTCGTAAAATCGGGAATTCGTAAAATCGGGGTTCGTAAATGAGGGGTTCTACTGTACTGTAACAATAAGTTTGTTTTTTTTAGCAAGATTGCTAAAATAATAATGTAGGGTACTTACTGGTTGGGCTTCAGTAAAATATTTTTTTCAAAGCTGTCTTTATTCACACCAAGGTACAACAGTAATATGTGGAGGGTTTTGAAATCAATTAATACTCTGATGTTTTGAAAAGCAGCAGCATTGAAACCAATTGGAAGATATAATACTAGTAACTATTAGATACCTTTGTAATGCATATAACAGGACTAACAACATACAATATTGAAATGAACACTATCGTACTGTGTACTCAGTATGTTCTCATATACTTGTGAAAAATATTTATGTTTTAGTTGAGAATCAAACACACGATCTCTAGAAAACTAGCCTAGTGTCGTAACCATTAGACCACCAGGCTTGGTAGTTACCTGGAGGTCGTGGGTGCGATTCCCCAACAAATCAATTGAGATTTTTTTTTGCAAGTATATGGGAATATACCGAGTATGATAATAAGTCTGGTAGGGCAAAATATCATCAAGTTTCTTGATGCAAACACTTAGCGAAATAATTCCTTAATATTGTATATTAATACAATTAGTACATTGTTAGGTGTTCTTGGTCAATTACTCTAATTATAACCTAAACAAGCATTCCTAAAACCAATATAAAGGACAGGCATATTATGCAAATGGTATGTCCATCTTTACATAAAACTCCAAAGGAAGTCACACAAAGCCATCACTGAATCATGAATCACTGTCTTTGGAAATTGTTTTATACTGTCTACTGTATATCATATTATTTCAGCAAATTTAAAATATTATTAAGAACAAAAAAGTATGGGATTTAACCAATACTTGATAGTCATATGTGTGGTACACCACAAATAATGTAAAATAATTAAATTGTGTGTTCAAAATAGAATACTGATATAAAAAATATCATACTGAGGCGCGGATCCAGCAGGGGGCATTGAAATTTTAAAATTTCAATGCATATCAATGTTATGTATTGAAATTCTGGATCAGCCCCTAATACTTTAATTCATTTAGCATGACCAAGATATTGATCATACATAATTTGCTGTTGAAACGTACAAAAAATATCATTAAAGGCAATTTTAATAGCTGTGTTTGATGAATTTATACATATACATATATTTTCTGCCTATTAACTGGATTCGATACACGACCCGAGTCATAATGATGGCCATACCAACAAGTGACATAGGGCCAAGCATAATATAGAGTAGGCCTAACTATACACAACATGCTTAATCGAAAAAATAACATAAAAAGTATGTAGAGCATTGGTAAGGTGCGAGGCAAACATTACATCACATTATTACTCTGCCATTATTCATCCATATTTTCCTGATGATAATGTAATCATCCTGAGCTCTTAACTCTGTGAGTGGCTGACATGCAGTACACAGGCATACTTAATCTACATGTGCGCATGTGTAAAACATAATAATGTAGGCACGATTATGAAGCAACATAAAGAGCTACCTACCAACCACTGTAAAATGAGCGAGTAACTTAAATACTGTTTATTGATGTTTTTAGGATTTTGACTTTAAACGCAACTGATCCTATGAATTTGAACAAATTTTAATATAATATGATATCCCTGTTCTAAAAAATACAAATTAAGTTTCTGCAGCGCATCTTTCCTTAACTAAAGCTGAAGGCAAGTTTAAAATGAAGATGTGATGTCACACATTAACTTAATACAATATCAAAATATAACTCTTTAGCACACATCATAGTAAAAATAATTTATCATGTTACTGTAGCTACCAGACTTTTGTAGCATGCTACACAATACAATACTGGTATTGGTAGCACAGCCAGTTAATGTAATGACAGCTACTCATACATAAATAATGAATCTAGCAGATTACAACACAACAAAATCCTTGTCAATTGTTTTTGTGCTAGTGTTGCTCTTGCAACTGTATGCTATGGTGCCTAAGGCAGGACTTTTTAATACCTTGTTTAGCGAACCCGCCGCTCCCCCCACCCCCAAAATGATGATTTCAATTAAAAATAAAATTTAATTTTTGGCCAATTAGCGCACCTGCTGCTATGAAAAAAGTTTCAGAAAATATAAAAGTTTTTCTTTATTTTTATTATGTCCGCCACTGCCTTGAAATCTGCAAAAATAATACATGTACATTTCTTCCTGATTATATAAATTTAAAGCATTTAACCATCCCATTACTACACTGTTTACATTCACCAATAAAATGTTATTTTTATTTTCTCCTGTGGATGTTTTTGGAAAAACTATTTGCAAAATAAGAAAACTAAATTTTAGTTTCATTTTTTTTCTGCCCTCCTCTGATGACCTTTAAAAACAATAAGAACAAGGTATGAAAAAAGTCTGGCCTAATTGCCAGTACTAGCAGTCTATGATCCTATGGGGTTAAGTAATTCATAAATTAATAATAAACTGTAAATAAGCTGCACTTCCATCAGCAAAAAATAAAAGGGAGCATACAATAATATTATATTGAGAATATTTAAAGTAGAATGAACATTTCTCTTTAATGTTTGTAATAAAAATAAAGGTTACGGAATAAAAATATATTTCACCTTTGTTATAATTTAAAACCTGATCCATATTAAAATACCACAGTTCTTAAATACTTCATTAAAATGTTCATCCTATCTCCTGCTCATTCTAAGCAATCCGTGTACTTCTGAAATTTCATATTTCACCGAGTATATTAAACTAAGATATCGGTCTCTGGATTATAATATGGATGCGAGAACAGCTTCAGTAAAAACCTAATTTTAACAAAGTTTAAATATTGCTACTATAATGAGTTGATATTGTAAATTATTCTTCAATGCCATGTGAGAATGGAAACATTCAGATCTCTCATTCTCTGGTTGGTTGTGATGTGGAGCACACCCTCAATGCTATTTATGCTTGCTGACTGTTGACATAAATTTATAGGACTGACAAATTGTAATGTACAGTTAAATTCTACAAAAACTAGTATAAATATCCTCACTGAAGAACATCACTTAGGTACAAAGTCATCCTTTTTACTGGAATTATCTTCACCGATACGTCACTTCACACTCCCTTGTTATAAAAATACTTTCGTTAATTTTTCCTCCAAAACCACCAATTCAAGGATATCCTGAGCAGTTACTGGAATTCTGCTTGAGAGATAATCTGACATTGTAAACAGTCCCATGAACCTTAAAAACAATTCCATTCTTTGAAATACAATCCCATTAATTCTCACAAAAAAAGTTTTTTAAAAATCAATCCCGTAATCCATGTGCTAGCAACCGTGCAAAGAATATCTTTAGATATCTTGCAGATGATTCAACATGTATTGAACGAAGCATTTATTACAGCACCAGCCTCTTCAGTGTCTAGCACCAAATCCCTCAATGCTGTAACTAGAGGTGTTCTAGGCATGGCAGCCTAGCCCCTGTTTGTCGATAGCTTTAAGCATTTTTGTCAATCGCTACTAGCTTCCTTGATATTGTTGCCAGTGCTTTTAGCATGGAACTGCATTCTCCTAAAATGCTTAGTGGTCCTAAGTATGTTGGTTTAGCACCAATTCCTGCATAATCTACTGTTAGCGGGGCTCCTTCCTTGCTATATTGTTGTTAGAGGTTCTAAGCCTTCTAGCCATGATGATATTGTCAGTGGTTTTTCAGAACTGACTGAAGATCTTCTGGTAGCGAATGTATAATGTTGTCAATTTGTCTTTTCAATTGGCTCAATAATTCCGGCTTGACATGAATATCATGGTGCAGCACGTTATCCTTAAATTTTAAAAAAGAATGAAAATAACTGAGCATATAAACGATAATGGAAAATGTTCACTTTTTAATCATGAAAAAAATTATTTCAACATTTATATTGGATGGATGGATTAATCCACAAAAGTCTGAAGACGACTTATTTCCAGTGGGGTCCTTCTGGTGGTGATTGGGCAGTACACCGGGAGACAATCTTCTACTCTTCCAAATTGTGTACTGTGTTCTTTCTTTAACATGCATACAAGTCATAATGCACACAGGACCAATGGTTTAAAAGTCTCGTCTGAAAGACGGTGCGCTATCGTAACTTGCATTTCAGCCGTCCAGCTGAAACACAATGTGGGAATTGACTGGGAACCTTGACATCCCCATTGATTCAACACAAACGAAGTGGCTACCATTAGTTAAGCCGACTGACCTGCTAATCTTGCTGCTAATCTTAACAATCAGTGGAATAATAAAAAAAATAATACAAAAACATACACAAATAAATAAATGAATGAGGATAGACTCTACAACTCTATACTCACCACACGCTCCCTCAACTTGAGTATAAGGTCAACCACCTCTACTTCCCTCTTGTCCTTTATCCAGTCGACTAGGTTGGCTGAGCACACAGCTTCCATGTGGATGACAGACAGCTTCTGATTAACCTCTCGCTGTCGATGATGTAACCATCCTTCAAAATTTCCTGACCGGAAAAATTTCCTGAAATACAAGTGCCATCTTTAGTAGTAAAGCAATGCACATCGAGTCTTTTACTATAATTCATCTATTCATAGTCTACAGTATATATTTACCAACCTACCAACAATGTGTCTGCTTATGCATATATTGATGTGTCAGCTTATAGTCTACAATATAACTACTTATGTATATAGCAACAAATGTAGCAGCAAAAACAACAGTAACAGTAGCAGTGATGGTAACAACAGCAGCAACTACAATAGTAACAATAGCAGCAGCAACAACAGTAACAGTAGCAAGGACATTAGCAGCCTTGGTAGAAGTAACAACTGTAACAGAATCAGCAACAACAGCCACAAAAGCATGCGCAACAACAGTAGCAGCAGCAATAATGATATTAGAATTCTATTATTGCATACTTATGAATAATGAACTATCAATAAAACTACACAAAAACGCACAATCACACTTACTTGTACAAGCCTTCCCAGTCACCCTTTAATCCTGATGTCAGCTGAGGACCAGAATGTTCTAACGTTTTCAAGAACGCATCAATTTCAAATGCTTTTAAACGAGGAGGACCCTAAAATAAAATAAAATATTCTGTTAATATTAAAATTTATTCAAAATCTTCCAACTAGAATTGCCTTCAGGTAATTTATTTACCCAACAAGTTGATTATAAATTAATAACAAATTAATAATAATTTATTTCTTTCTGTGCTGAATAGCACAGAAAGAAATAAACAAAACATATAAAAAAAACATAAATATGTTAATGTAAACATTTGTAAACACATTCAAGTCCTAAATCATTCAAAAATTAAGTTAAAAACAATATAACTTGATAAAGCTCAGAAAAAGAACCAAATCTATGAATTATAATGGAAGCTCATGTAAAAGGGACTCATAGTCAAATCTTTTAAGAGTCTTTATTGTTCAGTATCAAATAAACAACAATATAGAGTTTGTAAAACATTTCAATTGACAGGCCTTGTTAGGAAAGAAATAAGTACATTTAGAGCAGGTGGGCTCGAGTTTCTTAAGGTAACATCGCCATAATGTAGTACCTTACCTTCCATGGGGATACATTTCTCTGCAGTGGCATAAGGCTTGCTAGGTATCGCTCTAGCGGAATTATAAAACTCTGCGTCAGCTCCAGTAAATGACGCCTCAGAATTGCATCTTGAACTTCAGAAGGCCTCTTTGTTTGTATGCCCTACAAAGTAGTGATTATACAGAAACAAACACAAAAATGATACCAGTTATGATGACAACATTAAGACCATAATTAAAAGAACACTAAAAATTATCCTTCGATATGTTAAGTGTCATCTTGTTTGATTTACTATTAAAAAAGTGGATAATAATAATAATAATAATAATAATTAAAAAAAAAAAAATAATAATAATAATACAATGTTGTAAATTACCTTTGCTAACTTCTTTGTAATAGATTTGTCCTTTTGTAGGTAAGGTTTGTATTGAGTATAAACACCTGTTTGGAGATAAATGTCAATTTAGTTTCTGCTTTCAAGGAATATAATGTATGTACCTAAGCTATATGCATCCTTAAAGGAAGTCTCTAAACATGATGAAAATAATTCTTATATGGAAAATACACACTTGGGTTTTTTTTCTGTCTAAACTAGAAGGAGGGTTAACATTAGTTCATCACATATCACAAATAATTTCCAACAGTATATAAAATATTATTAAATTAATCATAATTAGTCAACCAGGTGCTAAAAAGTAAATATAATGAATTGACCAGGTCACCTTGAAGCTGTGTATAAGTTAATCAGATAATTAATTACTATAGGAAATTGTGCTGCATGTGCAATGTAAAATTACTGACATCAGGCTATCTGGGGAGTTGTGAAAGCAGTTACATCAGCTATGGTTGGCATTAGAGAGTGCATATTCTTGCTTTGGATGCACCATAGCAGTTGGAGAAAAGTCTATAGATGTTATTGTTGAGAGGAGGTAGATTTAGAATGAGGAGGTGCAAGACGATCTTGCTAAAACCATTCACTGTGAAATATATATATATATTTTTTTTTAAATTCATTTCCACTTGTATTTACCAAGCAACAGGGCTACTTATCAACGTACCAACTGTGTAACTAAAAATATATATAATTCTAAAATTCTCTCAAGGATATTAAGTTTTATGCAAAACAAAAACCTCGAATTTTCCCATATATGGGTTTTTTTAAAAAAACAATTCTTATCCTAAAGCTTGAACTACACGAATAAGTTTTCTGTGACAAAAACCTGTGAGTTGTCTAAATATGGGTGTGATAGTACATCATCATGCCCTTATATGGGTATAATATCAATTGCATAAAGCATGGACAAAGATTTATGAAATATTAATATAAAATAATAGAGCTATGACTTACCTGGTTTTGACTCTAATGTCTTCATGCTACTAGTCTTCTTAGGTTTTAATACTTTGGAATTACTTTTGTCTACATTGGAAAATAATATACACTTCACTATAAACCAATCAAATGAGGCTATACATAGCAAACACTCCAATTTTTCTTAAACCAATCAAATGAGGCCATAAAAGAATACGCACTCACGTTTTTAAACCAATCAAATGAGTCCTTACTTGAATAATCAAACATTCAATTTTTTTAAACCAATTAAATGAGGCCACAAATGAATAATGAAACACTCATTTTTTTAAACCAATCAAATGAGGCCATACATGAATTATTAATCAATAAGAATAAAGAGTTAAAATACCTTGAAATGTTACAAAAAAATACTGAATCATTTTAATTGCATTGTAAATCAACAGCACTATCAAGAGAGATGTCTGTTGAAGTTGGCACACATGCAGTGTTAAATGTGCAGTTTGTAGTACCTGTTAATTACCTATTCCTACCAATACAAGCAACCAATATTGTGCATTGTGAGAAGGTTTTCTGCCAGCTTTTTGCCTAACTTTTTGTGATAGCATGTTAAACACTGCCATTCTCACCTGAGCCAGTTGTGTCTCCTATCCTAATGACGTGAGGCCAATGCTGTAGAGTCTTTGCAAAGAATGGGTTGGTAACACCTAACACAACACGGGGGCTACAAAATGGGAAAAAATATTTATTAAAAGAGAAAAATATTCAGTAGTTGATACTAAATCCATTTTTTTCAATCCAAATTCAAATTAAAACAGGAGACCCACAATTTTTGCACAAAAACTCTTGAAAGTTCATAGAAATTCATTTTCAATTATTCATTTATTTTACTTTTTATATTTATGAAAATTTGGTAAACAACAGGCTACTTGGGGAGATAGCCAGATAGTCACATAGTCGTCATGACTAGTGGCAAATAATTAGACTTTACAAGTTAAAAGATGAAATCAGAACAATAACTTTAGTTTTAAATGAATTCTACTTTTTTATCAACAATACCCAAGATTCAGCAACATATTATAATGTTTTTTGATACAAAATAGAAGAATATTATATCATAGAACTTACGGTGCTTGTGTTTTTGTTGTGTATTCCTTGAACTCGCTGTCGTGTATTGTAAAATATGGTCGGTAATCTTGCATGAATCGTAGAGGGTGGATCATGCTTACCAAAGCCTGCACCGTGTTCGAACACTCTGTTGGTGAGGGCGCCATCACTACTAGAGGCTGTGAAAAATATCATGTCAAATAATAAATTATTAGTTATTGTTTTTATTGTTGTCATTTTATTATCATGGTAGCTAAAAGACTTGAACAATATAATTCTTTTTTAATTGAACTTATTTAGTACTAATTGCCAAGTAAATTATTTAGTTGAGCTAAATTTGTATTTTTTTTCCTTATACCATCAAAGTAGTTTGCAGATTATTTCAGAATTTTCATAGTAACATGTCAGTAGGTCATCAAAAACCTTTATTTTATATGAGCAATTCTAAACTGTTATTAAACAAATTAATCTCCAGAAAATGCATGTAGTGTAGATTAAATCAATCCTCATCACAAGGGAAGCTCCTTATTTGTAAACCGTTGAATAGGGAATGAGGCAATTAGTTGGTTTACCCAGTTAAGTATTTACGAAATAGACTGTATATTTTATAGTACAATGGCTTTACCTCTCCAAGCAGTATAAGCTCCCATAATAACTGTATATGTGGCAAGACAGGTTGAAGATACCTAAACAAATCCACTTCATTAATTGAAGGTAAAATTGTTAAAGGAGATCCAGAAAACTAAAAGATACAACATAAAAATTATGAATTTGAAATAGATAGAGAATACTATTACCACATTGCTGAAAATGATGTTTTTATTATCATTCTCTTAAGTTTATTCAGTTCTGATAATTATAAATAATAAAATAATAATTAATAATAATGGAGAAGTACAATACCAATAGTAATGATAATAATTAAAATATTAACACATTCATAACATAATTAACAATAATATAACAATAACAAAAGTAGCAATAACAGAAATAAGAATAACAAGAGAAAAAATGACAATTAACGAAAGTGGCAATAAAAACTAATCATAATAATAATAACAACAATTAATAACAAAAACAATCAACAAAAATAACAAAAACAAAATAGTTGTTTAGTTTAGTCATTTTCTGCTGTAGTGTTCTTTAGTAATACTATATGATTACTAACATTTTTCATTGCTTATTCACTAAATGTCCTCACAAAATTATAAATATTGCAAAAATGCCAGTAACTTCCTATTCTAAAGGTCAAATAATTTCCAGTACACATTTAAAATAAGTTTATGAACCGCATCAATGGTCATTAGAATTATGACGTAAATAATATTCAGACTATTGGTGCACTGGTACATCACAAGCATAGGGCGACAATATGGTTGGAAACGAACGCAGACGTCAGCACGCGTGGGCTGTTTGAGGTGCCACAGACATGCGCCGATTAATGAACCAGCATCATACAGATAGGTGACAACAAATGCAATTAAAGTTTACGGCTTAATATCTCTCATAATACAGTAGTATATTTTCTATTAATGTGAGTGTAGCTGAGCGTAGAAGCCAGCAGAATGTATTTGATGTAAATATTTTCAGCTCAGGCAATGTAAATAATGTGCAATTTAGATCCGTCTACAATACGTTATACTGCATTTTCTTTTCCTGTTTTAAAGAAATAATATCGATGTTGACATAGTAATAATAATTTTAACAGTTAATTGATAATAGTGAATAGTGAATGACAATAACTTTTATATATAAGTTCAACTTGTGCAATTCAATTTTCCAATTTTGTAATGTTAAAGATTTATAAATATAATACGGAATTGCTAGCTTAAGAATGAAAAAAATGTAAAATAAGACTGAAATTTGATTTTTTTGTGTTCCACACAAAAAATAAATGCGGATGAATTTTCATTTTGATTTTGCGATAGGTCGTGAGAAGAAATATCGTAGGTGCCGAAAACATTAGCCTATCCAACGCTGCTAGGCTAGGCCTAGCCTTACCTCGATTTAGGTTCTGTTATCACACATAAAAAACACATCTAGATGTGCTAGTATTGACACTTGTGAAATATAATATTTCATAGGAATTATTTCAAATTTGTTAAAAAACTGATTCTGACTGAGATTTTGACACTTAAACAAACATATCTCAGCCTAACCGAACGACCGCATTGGGTGAGATGCGAAGTACAAAAACTAATCTCTTTAGAGAGGGCGCACTTTATTGACTGTATAAAGTATACATAAAAGTGAGAGTATTCCATTGGATGCAATCTACAACCTCTGAATTTGCCTAGTAACGATGAATTCGTCGAGAAAATGGTAATATTTTATGAGAAATAGACTGTATTTCTCATTTTTTTTATTCTTTTGCGTAAAACTAAAATTCATGCCAATATTTTTCCATGATTTATAATAATTGGAGTAATGCAAATGCATATTTTCTAAAAAAAAGTCAGTTTTTAGTGAAATTTTGCTGGGAATGGGGCTTTAATATTGATGGCCATTTATTTGAGGAATTATTAAAAATGTCCCTTTTTTTATCTAATTATTTACATTACTTAGTTTGCCAATGGGTTTTTTTTTATGATAATGAATAAAAATTAATTAATGATTTTTTCTTGTGCAAATTTCATATTTTTAATTGTATGTACAGTATGTGTTTTTGAATGAATGAATAAAAATCCATGAATGGAACTGAACTGGAATTTAAAAACTGTAGCAGTAGCAAATAATAAACAAAACTAAATACTGTAATAATATTATTACAATAATTATTATTGTAATCTATTATTCAATAGGATCATACCATATATTTAATAAATTGTAATATTTTTGATTACTAATTATACCAGCTATATTATTAATAATTTATGAAAAAGAGAATCTTATGAAAAACAATCACATACCTCATTTGGCTTCTTAAGACTGGACGCTGTTAATTTATCCTGTACTGAAGGCATCCGAACGTGCAATACATTGCCGATTATAGGCAGATGAAGAGTTTCCCCTGGAACTGGGATTGGCCATTGATCTATATCATGAGAGGCTAGAAAAAAAAATAAAACATTATAAATAATAGTAAAAATAAACTTCATTATTATTATTCATAAACTTCTTTAACACAATTTATCCAGTATATTAAAAAAAAATGTTTACTTGATGAACAAATGTTATTTCAAAACGAACAAGATCTCACAACAACTCACAAAAGAAAACAGCAAAACAAAACAACAACTACTCACAAAATAAATACCACACATGTCCCTACTACCATCAATATTACAGTACTGTTATTCTTAAATTTGGAGAAAATCAGCATTTGAATCATATAACAGAAACATTGTTTGAGCATAATACACAGTCCCCTCTTCAGTTTCAGTTTTTGTTTGACTTTCCCAGTTTCTTTTTTAGTAACACAAGTTGTAAGCTTACCTGCTTCCAGCGAGGGCTCCCCATGTTCAAAGTACTCAGGTGAGATGATGTTGACAAGGTGTGAAAAAAGCATCACATATGGAAGTTTAGTTAGCAAGACAACAGACTGAAAAAAAACCCACAAAAATCCTCATTCAGGATGAATGTGAAATTTACAAGGTGCAAAATACATTTCCAAGCATATATTTTAACATTTTTATATTTCTCACATTTACTATTTTGCAGTTTTTTTTATAAGTCTTCAAAACCCATATATGATTCACATACTTTTGTATGAAAACATATGTTTGTACAGTATGTTTTCAAAAATAATTACAGTAAAATTACAAAAGCAAGAATCTAACCTTTTGAAAATAGCCTCTTCTTGATGTGTTATCTTTAACCTGTCTAAAATACACGTAGCCATAGAGATGCGCAGAATCACTCTGTGAATTAGATATAAACAATCAGTAAATACGATGGTTTTGTAGGTGAAGGTTATGGTAACAAATATTTTAAGTAGTATTGGTATGAATTTATGATTAATATTAGTAGTGAAAAATGTGATGAGGACTACAATGATTGATGATGGTTGATGATGATGATAGTGATAATAATAATGCTGATCATAAGAATGACAATGTGTGAAAGTATAATAACCAAACAATTATAAAGATGATATCATTTCTTTTTTATATAGCTTTTTTAATGTCCGTTATATTTTGTATTTTTGTCAATTTTGGCATTTTATTGTTAACTGTTTTATGTTTCTTGCGTGGTAAAAATGTTTAAAAATTTTTAAGGGCCCAATGGAAATAAGTTTTATATATTGTAAAACTTTCTTGGGTTACCCTAATAATTAATGTCTTATCTTATTCTTTATCATTTATCTGTTCTTTGTATTTGTTTTATTTTCAAGTAATCTATTATTTTAATTCCTGAATAAAATGAAATGAAATTATAATAATGAGGATGATGAGGGTAACGGTGATGATCATCATGAGAATAATGAGCATAATCATGATGATTAATGTAATGATTATGTATATTGTCAATAATGATACTCATGATAAGATTAATGATGAGGACAATAATGACAGTAGCAAAGTTAACAACAGTGATGTTGGGGATGAGGATTGATAATATGATAGATACTGATGATTGGTGATTATGATTATAATGATCATCAGTAATGATAATGATTACTGTTGATCTGGTGATAAGGATGATGATAATGATAATGCCAACTCCATCAAGTGCATTCATGATTATTATGACAATCAAAAAAGAGGGGGCCCTAAGGAGGGACTTTTATAGTTGGTGAGTCTAGACAATCTCATGGTTAGGGCTGAGGTAAAAACATTTATGATTATTACTCCTCTAGATGGCCAGAAATGGCATTCTCAGACTTAAAATTTGAATACAATTTTCTTTTTTTTCTCCATTTTTCTTTTTTTATTTTTAAAAATTTAGGGGGAAGGGGCTCGGGCGGGCTGGAGCCCCCGCCCTCGGCCAATCCGTAATCCGCCACTGAGTATGAGTCCTATGACAAGGATAAAGTTAATATTAATAAAGATTATGATAAAAAATAATCATAAAGATGGTAAAAATGGTATAATGGCAGTGATTAGTAAAGTGGGTGGACAAAACATTGAAATTGGCAATATGAAATATTAATACATTTTAACTATTAGAACACTGTAATCAGTCTGGGTGGTAGGTCTACTATACACGTTTTCAATACACAGAAGAAACATACCTGCAAATGGAAAGGGCCTTTACTATCATATTTAGCCTTGGTATGAGTTGATAATGGCCTGCTCATACACCTCCTAATTCTAAACATGAATCTTGTATCACCCATGCACCCTAAACATAATGACATAAACATAATAAATTATCAAATATATTAATCATGAAATAATAAAATTTAAACATGCAAATTATTATTACTATTATTATAGGCCATAAATATTAAAACACCTACATCAAATTGGTCATTATTTATTTATTATTTATTTATTTACAGTAAACAGTATAGTACAACATATAATTTATTTCACATTAAGATAGAATACTTTTTATCTATAATTTTTCACAAACATGTATAGTTCCGTGTGTTTAATGTTATTGTAAGCATCTGTCGACTAGCAGGTAGCCCACTGGGGCTCCTATGAACTTGCTGACGTATAACACAGTTGAATGTCAAATATTGGTTTTATGCACACATGTGTGGTCTGTATTTGTAATTGACTGTAGTTCTAATTAAATATTCAGATGGCATTGCAGTAAGTTCAAGCTGGGCTATTTTTTTTTTTTTTTTCATTTTTCATTAGGCAAGGCATTTCTTACTTCTCTTCGTCCACAGTTAATAAAATATCCAAATTACACTGGTAAAGATAGTTAAGATAAGATTAGCTGGGGCGGATGGCAGAATATGACGGTAGTGGGTGCGTGTGTGGGTTTATGAGAAAATTGGCCGCTAGGTGCCCAGAAATTACACACTCATACCTTAAAAATTTTACCGGAAATTCATATGAACAATATAATACAATTATTTTTCTTAACAATTTAGAGGGGTGTGATCACCATCTTCACCCCCCTCCCCTGCCTCTGTCCCATATTAGATACTTTATTGTTATCATGTACACAACCAGTGGCATACATACTATAACATTCATTTACATTAATGAAAAATACACATCTATAAAGCTCTTTGAACTTTCTTGGTTTCCAAGGGCTACATGCTCTCTCATTTCCCTGACTTACATTTGTTTTTAGTTAAGAGTTCATATGTGTTTATATGTATATTTTTATATGCACATTTCTCCATTTTATGTATTTGTTTAGTTAAGTTTGTACATTCTTATTTACGAACACACCGATTGTCATCGAGTGCCACCAATCTAAAGGTATAAGTTCAAATGATTAAAGTAATTTAAATACAAAACATATTAGTTTTCACATAAATTACCAAGAACAAATTCAATACACATCATATAACTTAATGATCTATCTATTAAAATTGCACTCAATCATACAAATTGGTATGGAATGCTTGCCACACATAATACACACACCCACATATACTGTATACAAAAGCATGCTTTTACCAGGTATTCTCTGGTGAACAGAGATACACAAAACACAAATTGGTAAATGGATGCTTGTAACACTCACACATACACACACCTATACCAAAGAGAATCTAGCTCAGCTCCTGGTCTAAGCATGTTATTTACCATGTATTATACTTCTGCAATTAAGCTATTTCCACACAGACTATACCTAAGCTGAATTTTCTCAATTATTGCAGGCTTTAGTGGATATATTACCTTTTCAGTAATGATTGAAAATTAATGCAGTGGAGCCAGATTACTCCCGTAGGAGTGACGATGGTTGGCATTGTGCATGATTGTTTATGAAGCTAATGAACAAGAAACTGAAGAATCCTTGAGCACTACAAAGAGTGTTTGGCAACAAGCGTTAAATTTATCAAAACAGGGTGTGTTGCTTATATATCAAAATAAACATGTTCTTTATTCTTTAATAAATCTCTCAGTTTGTTCACAACTCAACAATAACCTAAATCCACAAAGTTACCTTAGAGTAACTAGTGATTGATATATATTTAAACAAGTATTTCAATTCATTTAATATTATCAATGTCGTAGTAAGGATACTACTAATGGATCCCACTCTTTAACAAATTAGCATACATGGCAGGGAGATTTGTTATTATTGTATGAACAGCTGGGATATACATCAGTTACAGCAGAGTAAGAACAGACCATTCAAGATAATGTCAATGAGAACTGATTTCCTTGTAAAAATCTGCTTTTAGCATAAATTTGTCTCTCTACTAAATTCATCAATGTAAGAACTGAACATATGTGAATTTGGACTTTTAATGAGATTTGTGAGAAAAATTTGAATAATTTTCCAACAGCAAGTAATGCAATTATACTCATTACAAAAATATAGTTTTGAAAAAAAATTGTTATAAAGAATTACAATATGATAAGTTTAAGGAAAATAAGGAAGATAATTAAAATGATGATGATGGTGAAAATTTTGACGATTATCATGATGGACATGCTGTTGAAAATAACTATACTACAATTGGATTTTTGAGATAGTTACTTGTGGTTTGTGCACAGATATTCTAATACTTATTATTAACTAATAAATTAATTTATTAGCAAAACAAAATTAGACAACCATTTGAAAGAGATTTCTTCCTCTGATGATCTTGTAAGGGAAGTTAAAGATCTCACAATAGAATTAATTATTTTTGATTAATAAAGCATTTATATGGTGCTCTAAAAAGAACACAGGACCGAACAATAAATTAGTGCAAAAAATGAATATAATATAAATGATAAAGGTGATAACAATAAGTTTGATAATTATGGGAGGCATAATGATGATTATGAGAATGACAGTGATGATACTGTAAGCATGGTCACTATTATGTTACTCAAATTCAACAGTAGTAATTTATAGAGAAAATTCAAGATTATACAAATATACTGTAATATAGTAATGATGAGGGTACTGTAATGTTGATAATGATGATCTGATAATAATGAGATTATGATGGAAATGATCACTATCATGTTACTCAAATGTAACAAGTAATGAGGATGATGATGTGATAACAATTTGATTGATAATGATGATGATGAGAATGATGATCATAATAACTTATGAGCATAATCACAAGTGTTAATTTACATATTATGGATATGCATGAATAATAAACAAATTATTAAAATTAAACCAACCTGAATTTGAATCAGGGAATGAAAGGTAGCAAATGTTCATCCGCTATTAAAAGTTTAGAAAAAGAAAAATGAATAAAAAAGAATCATGAATATTCATAAAATAACTTCCTAGGGCAACAGAAAAGTGGTCTTTGATTGGATGGGTCGTTAATTGGAGGAGTCTTTAATTAGAAGGAGACCTATTTTGTAGCTCATTATAGGCATTGTTCACAATATAAAACTAGTATAACTCTATTGTGACTAATTAATTGGAGGAGTCTTTAATTAGAGGGAGGCCTATTTTGTAGCTCATTATAGTCATTGTTCACAATATAAAACTAGTATAACTCTATTGTGACTAATTAATTGGAGGAGTCTTTAATTAGAGGGAGGCCTATTTTGTAGCTCATTATAGTCATTGTTCACAATATAGTGAGTATATACTCTCTATTGTGACTGACTTATTACTTTTAATGCAACATACCGTACTCATGTGAATAAGCACCCTGTTTGAATAAGCGCCCCTCCTAATGATAAAATGTTCTTAAGCACCCCGTACGAATAAGCGCACCTCTATTTTAAATAAGCACTCCTTTACCCCCCCCACCCAATTTTGAATCCTGAGCCATGCTCTCTGGACGATTATCCGCACCAGAACCGTTTGTTTATCTTCGGTTTCCAGATGTCCTTACATCTTTTTTTTTATTCAAAAAGTGCCCATTTAATTTCCCAAGTTCCCATAAGCACCCCCTTCAATTGCTAAGCGAAATCTTAATTTCCACTCTGTTTGAATAAGCGCCCCTCAAAAAGTGCAAACAATATTTTAAACACCTAGGCGCTTATTCGCGTGAGAACAGTACTGTGGATACCGTATTGCTAATTTATAGCATAAAGTGGCTGGATTGAAAAATATTAATTAAGAAAAATGGCAGGTTTAAATTCTGAATTCCTAATTATGCAAAGAAAAACAATTACAATACAATATAAGTGAATCTTACTTCTTTTTCAGTTAGCTTCACATGGCTGGGGTAGACAAACTACAAAACAAAAATAAACATTAATTTGTAAAAATTTTATCCATAAAAAAAAAAAACATTTATACATACGTTCCAACTGGACCCTTCAAATTAAACCAGAAGTCTCTTCGAATTTGTATTCAATCTTCCAGTCTCCCGAATTTTGACAAATACTCCCAAATTTTCAGAAACGAACCCCAAAATTTAAAAAACGGCTAATTTAATGACTTTTTGGTACCAATATTGAGCTTTTCTGTGTCAACTTTTTCTTTATGTGCCGACTTTATTAACAATATTATTATTAGCATACAATAGCATTCCGAGTGTACTGACACCTTGAAAGAACAGAATGCATACATGCATTTTTGGAGTGGGGGTGCACTTCACCAGTGCACCTCCAGTCTCCTGCATTTTGAGTTCCAGGGGTTGGAATGTCTGCAAATATACACCGTGGGCTCTGGTGGGGGTCCAGGGGGAAGCCCAATTGAAGCTCATGGAATCTGGGCATTTTACTACTGATTTGATTGATCTTAAATTAAGTCAAATGTATGTAAAGTAAACTTAATAAAACCAATAAGGACTCTGGTTTTTTGTGGATATATAATAGTTAGTGAACCTTTTATTCATGAATCATGATGTACAGTCTAAACACTACAGATGAATGTCAAATGATTTAATTATTGCATATTACTGTATATGCTGTTCATTACGTTATGCAAATCATTATTTTAATTAGTTTAAAAATCTTGATCCATGAGTAACCTTGCAATCTGTGAGTTCCGTGGCAAATGATTAATTATCCGCGATTCTCACGGTTAATCCGTATAACATGGAATCTATTATTACCACTCAAATATTCGGGCCCTCAACTCTAGCCTGGCCTACTACTAAGGCATAGTGGTGCATATCCTACCTGTCAACTAACACAACAGATAAAAAGAACAGGCGGTTGACAAGTGCAATCCGTACGTAGGCCCTAGGCCCCTATGCCTAGCCCTAGGTTTAACTTTAGCCAAGCCATTTCATTTTCATTTATTTATTTATTATTTTATGACGAATTTTATTATTAACCTATCAAGATTACCAACATAATAAGACAGTGGTGCAAATAGGCATAGCCTATACCACGGAATAAGCCTAGGCAAGCCAAACAAACATATAATATAACAACATCTTGCCTAGGCCTACGTAGGGCCTATTCGACTATCCTAGGCTCAGTAACACACACTGAACACGACTTCACCAATGACAATAAACACCTAGGCCTACCTCCAAGGCCTGGCCAAGCTCCAAATCGAATGTGACAACACAGACACAATATAACCAATTAGAAAAGTTATCCCACGGCAAAATAGCTGATGATTTGAACGAAGTTTCATTCGTATTACTCGTTGAGATCACACGATCTTTTTCAGTTGAAGCCATTGTTGATTTCTCTATAACTCCATTTCCTTACACCACCATCGATAAACCTGCTGCTACGAACTGCGATGCCACAATGATGCGTGACAGCAAAGAGTATATTGGTGACTGACAGGCTAGGCGAACGTAAGTGCTAATTCGAGCGGATACTTATGTACTCGAGTGGATACCAGCTCTCGAGCGACTTGCCAGCTTGATGACAGCAGACACATTTTATTTATTTACTTATAATTTAATACATAAATGAGCATGCTCATTTATTTATAAATGAGCATGCTCTCAAATCAGATAGCAGTATTCATGAGCACATACAACAATGTGAGGGTTTTAAGCATATTTTTTGAAATCAATAATATTTAATTTAATAATACTTCTTTACTATTGTTGAATAATTGTTGATTATTCATTTTTTATTCATAATAATAAGTGATATACTTAATATAAGACACACCTCATTTTTAATTGGCTAGTTATAACTTTGATTTTAATCTCATTGGTCGGTTTTTATTTGCTTTCTGTTATACTTCTGTAAATATTTTAAATATATAAGGATAGGTGAGATTTTCTCACCGGTATTCTTGAAAATGATCAAATAGATCGAAGCATTGAATCTCAAAATGTTTCCATCTCTTTTGTCTCCATCTTCACTATATTGCCACAATAAATCATATCAAGATGAATGAATAAAATAGATTGCTGAATGAAGGAATGAATAGGTCGATGGATAGAAAAGATGAATGATAGGCCTATGAATGATTGGAAGAAATGTATGAGTGAATGATAATGAACAAATGAATGAATCAATCAATTAATCAATCAATAAATGATAAATGAATGAATGCACGAATGAATGCATATGACTAAATAAATAGGCCTAAATGAGCGAACAAAAGGACGAACAAACGAAAGAAACAAACAAGTGAATGAGTGAGTGAGTTAGTAAATGAATGAACGAATGTACAAAAGAATGAATGAATGAATGAATGAATGTAATAATTAATTGAATCAATCAATCAGTACATGAATGAATGAATGAATGAACAAACGAATGAAGAAACATGAGTGAGTGAATGAATAAACGAATGAACAAAATAATGAATGAATGTAATAATTAATTGAATCAACAAATGGATCAATGAATGAATGAATGAATAAATCATGAATGAATGAAGGAATGAACAAATGCATGAATGAATGAATGAATGAATGAATGTAATAAT